CGGACGCTCCCACAACTGGAGTCTGGTCGAGTCCAGTAAGTCCGGTCTTCACCTGCTCAGCACCTGCGCGCCATGTCATAGCTACCGGACCTGGGAACAGTGTTCCCGCCAAGTCTGGTCACTCCCTCGAGCCAGAGTCCAATCATTTCGGCGCCTCTGCCTAAGCCTAGGGTCAAGCACCGGACGACGGACGCGTTCGGTCATTACGCGATAGCGTCCGGTCACTCTAGAGTGACCGTTTCTCATCTCCAACTCTTTCACCATTGCTCCCGAGTGCTAACCACCAAGTGTATCACCAATGTGCATGTGTGTTAGCATTTTCACAAAGCATTTTCAAGGGTGTTAGCATTCACTAGAATCTAAATGCATATGCAATGAGTTAGAACATCTATTGGCACTTTGATAACCGCATTTCACAACGAGTTTCGCCCCTCTTCATAGTACGGCTATCTATCATAAACCCACTCACACCCACTTGGTGTCTTGAGTGGCAAAACTAAATGCTCCTATCTATTATACCTTTGCCTTGAGTCATTTTGTTTTTCTCTTTCTTCTTTTCTAAGCTTGAGCACTTGATCATCACCATGGCCATCACCATCATCATGATCATCATCCATTTGCTCCAATGCTTAATTTGTACTAACCTATCTCATATTCACTTAGATCCAAAGGTTAGTACTTAGGGTTTCATCAATTATCCAAAACCAAACTAGAGTTTTCACCATGCTGGAAACGGAGCTTCCAGCTTCTATTAGTGTCGGTTCGAAAAGTGACCAACAAGTAAATATTTGTTCTTTTGCCGTACGTTGTGATCGGATGTGGCCTAGCACTCAATGACACAGGGTTTATACTAGTTCAGGCAACGTGCCCTACGTCCAGTTTGAGTCGGTCGGTGACTTTATTCCTGAGCCTACGTGCTCAAAGTTTGCTGTGGGGTTACAAATGAGTGGGAATAAGATGCGGGGTGTTAGAGGTCCGGTCGGACTCTGGACCGAAGGGCCAAGAGTGATAGAAGCTCCTACGTGCGCTAAGTATTGGAACGTATGCTCTGTGTAGCTTTAGAGTTCTAGAGCCATGAAGCTGTTCGAGTGCTCAGAATGTCTAAAGCTAGCAGAGAGAGTCAGAATGATCCATCCGTTTTAGGAGGGAGTGCATCCCCTTTTATAGATGAAGGGGATGGCCTTACAAGTTAGAAGAGAGAGAGAGAGAGAGAGAGCGAGTGCGTTTCCTAGTCTTGTTGCCCACGCAGTCGGGTACAAGATAGTTTGTCGGTGCCCACAATACTATTGACACCCAGATGCATATGGCAGGCTCCATTGTGTTCTTCTGGTATGGCAAATATCAGCGCCTACCATACTGTAGGACAAATGTCGGCGCCCGCAACACTGTTCGTGTTCTGACATGTCTAGAAGGCTGTAAAGTACCCTTCTGGCATGGTCTAACGGTACTGTCTTGCAGGTGTGCAGGGTATGGTCCTCGGTATTGTGGTTGACTTGAGCGCCTTACCTTATCTACTCCGCCTGATTTCTTGTGTCCTCACTGAGCGGGCGTCCCCGGCCAGTCGTTCCTAGTTGGCTTCGATCGTGCCGGTCGGAAAAGAGCCATAGGCAGAGGTTCGGTGTATTCCCGGTCGGAGAAGAGGGTCAGAGTTAGAAGCGAGCGTCGCCCCTCCCTGACCAGGCCTTCCGGTCGGAGAAGCGGGTCAGAGTCAGAAGCGAGCGTCGCCCCTCCTTGGCCAGGCCTTTTGGTCGGAGATGCGGGTTGGAGTCAGCAGCGAGTGTCGCCCCCTCCTTGGCCAGTTTCGGTCGTTAGATCCGGGACCTCGCTCTTCCGGCCTGTCGTTAGCTTTTGCTAGGAAGAGGCCCATTAGGGACCCTGGGTTTATGAACCCGATAGGAGCCCCCGAGCCCCCAAGTGATTCAGGTAGAATCGTCTAGGGGATTTTTTGTTTTGCCAGCGGGTGCGTGCAAGCGCATCCGGTGGGTGTAGCCCCCGAGCCCCCGGGTGATTCGGGTAGAATCGTTTGGGGGATTTTTCGACTTGCTGGGTAGTGCTGCCATGAGCACACCCGGCGTGGGTGTAGCCCCCGAGCTGCTCTCTCCACCGGTGAGTCAGTTGGAGGCTGAGTATCTTGGTACTCTTTTCTAGGGCCACAGACTCCTATGTTTCTGCCATTTGGGGTGTTTGCCCGTGTTTGTCCTGCCCACGACCTGCGTGGTCGGTTGATTTCCCGAGTCGGCGTCGGGCGACCTGAGCCCTGTTGGGTTTGGTAGGGGTTGGTCTAGTTCCATGCGTTACCCCATCCATGGTTTCCACAACCGGAGGGGCTAAGCTAACATCACTTGCCTCGATGGCTCGAGTGATGCGCTCGGTGAGCTCACTAACGGGTGCGTTCGAGCGGAATCCGGGTCCATCGTTCGTAATAGGGTCAGCATAGCCCTCATGTGGCATTCCACTACTCCTTAACCCACCTCCTGGCATATGCCCGAGTTGTTCTGGAGACTGACTCAGGTGGCCCGCTGGCCTCCCCTCGATGGAGATTCTATGGGCATGGCTCGAGGTTAGGATCGAACGAGAAGGTCGAGATGACACTGTCTGCTTTTGAGCATACCAGGCAAGGGCCGCTGGGGCTCATCTGTGTTTTCTCCCCTAGCTCTATTTGACATGAGGTGGCCTCGAGCCCTCCATGGGCCAGCCTTTGAACCCTAGTCGGTCGTTGCTGATGTTGAATGAGGCAACTACCTCTTCGTGATGCAACACGAAGCGTTGTGATGCATTAATTGCATATGCGGTGCTTTGGATGTATGGGATGAATGAATGACTGTATGAATGAATGTGTGAATGCGTGTATGAGAATGGATGAATGAATGATCATGCATCAGAAAATAAAGTAAGAGGGTTTGGTAAAGTTACCTTGATGACTCGAGTGATGGGTTTGAGGAGTTCTTATCGGATATGTCCGAATGGGATCCGTGTTCATCGTTCATGACGGAGACGACATGGCCCACATGGGGCATCCCATTGCTCCTTACCTATCTCTCGGTAGTCACCTGTGCCATCCGATCGACTCAGGAAGCCCATTGGTCTTTCCTCGACGGAGATCCCATTGGTGGACCCTTCCAAGCTCTGCCTGGGAAGGTGGAGGGCCATTTGCATGTGATTGTGCCTTGTTTCCTGCGCCCAGGTTGTGGTAGTGGTGGGCCATGCCTAGGCCATGTCCTGTTTTAACCAGGCATTGTTTCATTGGGCAGGGCGCGTCCCACCACATGCCTATCCGCATTAAATAGGGGAAGGGAGAGGGGTTTACACCCCAATCCTTCCCCTTTCTCCAACTGATGCCTCTCCTCCTTAAATAGGGGAAGGAAGAGGGTTTTCATCCCATTCCTTTGCCTATTCTCCAACAGCTATCTCTCCTCCTTCTTCCTTTTTGCCAAGCCCATTCACGCGCCACGACGGTTCCTAGGAGAAAGAGGGTAAAGCGAGTGAGTGGAGAACTCATAGATCCATTCATGAATCCGGAGCACAATGTCGAACTGGAGGCCATCCAACGTAGATGAGGTAGTGCTTGGCTACCTTCACCGAGAAAGAGGTCGTCACCAAGGAGGTGGCGCACTAGAGGGCTCCTACGCCGGGGAGGCTGTTCGCGACCTTGGGCCAATGAGGTTGTCTCCTTCCTCACGGGTTAGGATATCCCACGACTTTGGTTCTTGTGCGGGCTCCTCAATGAGTAGGTCCTAGAGTTATAGCACCTCAATCCGATTGGGGTGCTGCATGTTGCCGAAACCGTCACCATCTACAAGGCCTTCCTCGGGATAGAGCATGACGTGGACCTCTTTCGGTGGATCTTCATCGGCGAGCCTTGTTGGAGGGAAAGCGCCCAGGACCATGTCGGTTGGGGGGCTTCACCTTGTAAAAGAAGCAGAGGCCATCGGGCTCCTACCCCATATACTCCCCTTTGACTCAATCGGGGTGGCATGGGGAGTGGTTCTACATCGAACCCAGTGAAAGGCGCCATTCCGCCATTCACCGGAAAAGGCCGGGAGGTGGGAGAGTTGGTGGTGGGGTCCCTCTAGTCAATGAGAACAAGCTTTGGAGGTCATCGAGGTGAAGCTCCGAGGCTGGTGCAAGATGGCCTCGATGGGTGTGGGTGTTCCACACCTTCTTCCGCCATCGAGTTGCCCCACTAGCGGAGAGGAGGCAGCCGATGTGGATGTACTCCGCCCGACAGATCCCGACCACGCATCGCGGAGGAGTTGGCGAAGGACAAAGTCTAGAGTCGACTCGACCGGTCTTTAAATCCGAGGGACAAAGAGTCCCTTGAAGGAAATCCCGAACCTCTCCATGTCGCAAAGCTCCCCAATCTGCACGCGCTCCCTCTTCTTATCCCGT